GATCTTATGGTAGCTCACAGAGAAAAAAATGTTGACAATGAATATATATATGTTCATGTATAACTGAAAAATTGTGCTCTACACTGGAATTTGACACAACATTGTAAAATGATTAAGATGATTACAAATCAATAAAAAAGGTTCAAAAAAAAGAGACATCCTTGTTTAGGTCAATGGATTAATAAAAATGTGGTACATCCAGACAATGGAATATTACTCAGTGCTTAAAATGAAATGAGCTATCACACAATGGAAAGACATGGAAGAAATTTAAATGCATATTAGTAAGTGAAAGAAGCCAGTTTCAAAGGCTGCGCATTGTATGATTCCAAGTATAGGACACTCTAGGAAAGGCAAAATTATGGAGTCAGTAAAAGGATGAGTGGTTGCCGAGTTTGGGCGGGGAAGGATGAATGGGGGAACACAGGATTTTCAGGGCAGTGAAATTATTCTATATGATACTGTAATTGTGGATACGTATCAATATGCATTTCCCCAACCTCATGGATGGTGCAACACCGAGAGTGAATCCTAACGTAGACCATGGACTTTGGGTGACACTGAGGGGTCAGTACAGGTTCATCAGCTGTAGCAAACGCCGCACTCTGATGCGGGACGTTGATGGCGGGGGAGGAGGCTGTACATTTGGGAAGATGGGGTTAATGAGAAATCTCTGTACCTTCCCCTCAATTTTAATGTGAACCTAAAACTGCTCTAAAAAATAGTCTTTTTAAAAAGCCCCCAAATCTCCCAGTGCCCAAGCCAGAAGGTCGATGTCATCCTTGCCACCCACTCTTTCCCTTCCTCCTGACCTCACCAATGCTCAAGACTTGTGAATTCCACTATCAGACTATACTCCCACCTCTCAAGCCGCCTCCATGGCTCTTACCTCTCCCACGGCAACAGCCTTACCTCCTTCAGTCTCTTACTTTCTGATGAGTAAGAGTGAGCTTCTTAAAGCATACACTATATCGTAGCATCTCACTGCCCTTAGGATAAAATTGTAAATCCTCATTCTGGGCCTGAAGCCCCTGACCCTAACCATTTCCTAAGCTCACATTTTCAGCCTCGAGCTGACACCTCCTGCTGTGTTGCAGACGTGTCTAAGTTCCTGCAAAATGCCAAGCTCATCTCTGCCTTGAAACTTTGGCACAAGCTGGTCCTCTCCTGACGCTTCAAGAATCAGTTTAAAAGCCCCTCCCCCAGAAAGATCTTCTCAGCAAACTCCCTCTTCTAAATGAGGCCTACCTGCTCAACTCTCGCGTGGTCCTCACCTCCCCTTGGCACTGACCACCATCTATAATGACACACATATTTCAGGGGTACCAGTGGGATGTGTGTGTCCCCTGCATGGTGGGCAGACCACGTCTGGGCTTCACTTCAGCTCTGAGGAACCGAAAGCTCACCCATCACCTGGTCAGCACCTGGTACCATGGCTGACACCATAAATGCCACAGGAGTGATGGGACTTTGGTCTGGCACTAGCAGGAGGTACCAGGCTTGGACACATGCCAACCACTTACTGAGGACGGTGGGTGACCCAGAAGGACCTGACCTCGCCACTGATGTGACAAGGGGCAGGAGAGCAGCATGCCAAGGATGAATCTGGCTGGGCACCTGCATCGAGGGACGGGGAAGAAAGACTCGGAGAAAGCCAGGAAGGTACCGGTCAGAAAAGGCAGAGGAGAATCCAGGGTAAACAGGGTCATGGAGGTCAAGGGTGAGGGGGCTTTGCCCTTTGACTCTGAGCATCTCTCCTACATTCTAAGAGTTACCCGAAAATCAGACTTGTCTAAACAGCTATTGTGACAGAAAACCAGAGCCAGAGAAATGCATAAATTAATGGGCTTGGAGAGAAGAGGTCAAGAGATAATCTGGTCTGTTCCACAGGTGAAGATATTCTAGTCACTGCAGAGATGAAGGAATGGAGACCTTGTGGGAACCGACCCGCCCAAAGCCACCCAGAGCTCACCCTTGCGTTGGGGCTGGCCTGCCTTCCCGGTAAAGGCCCAGACAGTAAATGCTGCAGGCTTACTGGGGCACCGGGCCTTGTCCCAACCGCCCAGCTGGAGGGTGCGAGCAGCCGCTGCCAGCCTGTGACTGCACACACACGACTGTGTGCAATGAAACAAGAGCAGGCGGATGGGCGGTTTGGCCCCGGGCCGAGGTCTGCTGGTCCCTGCCCTCAGCTGTTGCTGGTACCAGGGGTCCCGGTTCACTGTTCATTTATCAGCTGATTCGAACACTCTCTGGCTTCTCTTACTATTAACAGTAAAACAAGACACAGAAGTTCATTCTGCCCAATTCTCCTCTCGCAGCTTAGACCCCGTCATAAGACTGCTCGCCTGGTCCTCACCCAGCAGGCAAGTGTGCGGGCTGGGCTCGGTGGCAGTGTGGCAGCCGCAGGCAGCGGGTATAAATGTCCCCATCCGGCTGGGAAGCACCGAGGGGGTGGGGCAGCCTCAGGGCCCGCAGAGGGCTGGACACCCCCCGCGGCACTCCCGGTCCCCAGGGGCACTGCCAACCCTCTGGGCTTCACCTTCAAAACAGCCCCGGAACCTGATGGCTTCTCAGCACCACTGCCACCCTGTTCCAAGTCGCCACCCCTGCCCGATGGCTCGATATGCATTTGTTGAGTGAATGAACGAACATCAGGGGTGGGACCAGTCAGAAGTGCGAGAGAGCCTTCCCAGAGGAAGCAACACTCCAAGAAAACATCAAAAGACTTTGAAAGAACCAGTCACATTGAAGACAGCAGGGGGCTGTCCTAGGCTAAAGGAAGAGCAGCGCGAAGGCAGAGAAAGAGAAACGGGTGCCTGTGGGGGTGGGGCAGCGAAGGGCGCACATCCCGAGTAACAAACAGAGCTTAGATGTGTGGAGGGCCTAGAACACAAACAAAACAAAAACCGTGCAGGGCGGGAGAGCAGGACTCTCTTCCTACAGGTGTCTTGGTCCACACCCCATGTCCCCACCCCACGGCCCCAGGGCCAGCCTTGCGTGAGCCTTGACTTTTAGAGAATTCTGAGACCACGGAGCGGAGAGAGTAGATTGAACGGCAGGATGGCCAGCTGTGGTGCACCCAGACCCGCCCTTGGGGATGAAGGATGTCGTCCCCCTGCAGCTGGGGGTCCTGCAGGAAGACGGCCAGTCCTCAGCGTCCACTACAACTGTGGCCGCTGGCAGGCTCACCCAGAGTCACATCCTCTTCCCAGGGGTATAGAGGCCCAGCCTCCTTGCCTCCAGGCAGAGTAACTATGAAGGGCCACCCCAAATTCAGCGTCCCCTCAGGCCTTCATTACGACAGCGTCCCAGAACCACCTTTCCCTCTGCCCGCCCGCTTCCTTCCCTTCCCATCCCCGATTGCCATTCCCAAGAGCCTCGCAACAAGTGCCCATGCGTTGTATTCCAGAGGCTCTAACAATTAATACTGGTAAGCAGGGCAAAGCCTGTCTTGGAGGACAGACGATAAGGAGCAGGCAAATCACGGCCAGCAGCCTACATCTGGCCCACTGCCTGTTTTTGTAAATAAAGTTTTACTGGAGCACGGCCATGCTCGTTCCAGATGCACGGTCCGCGGCTGCTTTCACTCTCCCACGCCGGAGTTGAGCAGTTGCTACGAAGACCACGTACTGTTGCTACCTGGCCCTTTAAAAACAAGTTTGCCAACCCCAGTTCCAGACCATTGAAGAAAAACAGCACATTTGTGAAACGGGGGGTTCCTCTAACGTCTTCTGGCACCTCCAGCAAGAAGTCTCGCTGGGACCGCAGAGCCGAGTCTAACGCAGGCCTCTCTGGCAGGCGGGGCGTGCACACGTGGTGTCAGAGTCTCCCCTTGCGTGGTGTCTAAGTGCTTTATTCATGAGATAAACCTCATTCACTACTGACGGGCTAGACTGCTGCGCCAGAACGCTAGTGGGCACAGCTTCCATCCGGTGACCTGCCAGGGGTTCCTTCCTCTCCAGTCATTCCCATCTTTGGTCACCAGGGATCATAAACTCCACTGGGACTTCTCAGACCAGCACCACCAGGAGCCCGTGTGCTGACCAGGGCCATCCTAAGACAGAGGGTCCACCTGGAGCATCAGCGTTTGGGGCAGATGTGGCCCAAGAGTGCATTCAGCCCTGCCTTCTCCAAAAGCAACTAACAAAACCAGACAGGTTGCTCCATCTACTTACCTGTTTTGGAAACAGGGGAACATTCCAGATTCAGACCACGAGGGCGCAACAAAACTGGCAATAAGTAACATATGGAAGTCGATACTGGCTCAGGGACGCAGCACCCAGGGGGGAGATCAATATGGTATGTCCCACAGAACAGCGCGGAGAACGGGTCAGGCTGCGAAGGATCTCTGAGCCAATCAGTTTTAACTACCAAAGGGCATGGCTTGTTACATTTAATTAGAAATTAACTGTATAGCCTGTTCTAGTAGATTCTACCAGGGGAACTGGCCACCAAATGCTGGTATTATCTATATGTCCATGAGCAGTTTCAGACATCACCTTGATGGTGCTGGTGGAGATGGGGCACACCCTGCAGAGATTCCCTACCACACACATGTCTGTTCTCAGCTGCAGCATTTAATGGCCAGGTGGGCTCGGGCAAATTATTTAAACTTCAAGCCTCCTTTGTCTGCAAAGTAGGAATAATGAGACTCCCTTTACAGAAAGATCTGAATGATTCAAAGTCATGAATACAATGGATGTAGCCCAGGGCTTGGCATCTAGGATTTCCGTATTGACAGAAGGATGTGGATGCAGATGAGGATGTGACAATGCTGATGGAGCTCTTCCTCACTATCCACACAGGGATCTGCACCATGCCCATCTAGCAGGTGCTCGCAGGAGACGTCAGTAAGAAATGCACAGAGACTAGGAGACGAACAAAGAGGGAACCAATTCCTGAGCCCTCAGCCTCGGAAGAGAGAACAGGTGCCCGGGTCTGTGGGAGCACTGCGTCTGCCCTGCACAGAGCATCTGATGGCATCCCATTTTCCCTAATCCTAGTAACTTTCTAGTGCATGTCCTGGAGGCTCATTCAAGAATACAATTTATAGGACTTTCTGTCTGATGACCTAGCGACTAGAGCTATAATGGCTTTGCCTCCATTTGTAGAATCTCCCAAACTACACCTACCTTGCAGCTGAGTGTCAGTAAGTGGGCCAGAGAGGGCGCCGCTCGTGCGGTATTTCGGAATCCTTCAGATAAAAGGATTCAGTAACTATGAAGTATGAAGACCACTAACAGTGGGTGTAGCCACAGGAGGCTGTCAAGAATGCTTCAGAGAAGATTCCACTTTTCAGACAGGAAAATACAAACAGTTCCTTGGAGTTTTAATGAGCATCGCCGCTGTCAGAAAGCATCTGCATTAAGGCTAAAAAGCTTTGTCAAGACTGAAGGTCAGAGAGCTCGGCCTGGAAGCCTCGTGTAGATTATCCCTGGACAGACTGCCTGAGTTGTGCTTATAAATTCCAGGCAAGAATTCTACAGCGTGGACAAGAAGTGCTTTCTTGTCACCTGGGAAGAAATACATTCCTTTGCAAATTAGTTTCTTAGTGAGAGAGCACAAAAGTGCAGGGGTGTGTGTGTGTGTGTGTGTGTGTGAGCACATTTATACACAGTGAGGCGGGTGACCCAAGCAGTGACCCCAAGTTTCTATAGATTTGAACCTCATGACTAAGGGACCCAGAGCCACTTGGAATCACTTTCCCTTATAGATTTCATCTCAGAAAAATAGAGCAGAAGTCTTTTCAAGCTTAAAGGGACCTTCAAGAACACGAAATCCACCTCCTTGTCTAGTTCCCCAGAGGAGGGAACAGGCTCAGAGAGTTAGCGTGGATTGTCCACGTTTAATGTGCTGGAAAATAGTGGATCAGCAGCTCTGAAAACGGTGGTCTGGCCTTCATGCCTCTTTCATCAAATGGTAGATTGAGGTCACGCGATTCAGAACCACTCAGACGCTCTAGGTGTGACTCTCTGGGATGAGAGCTATTCTGAAGGAAGCCGACCCACAGGAAGGAGAAATTAACTCGTGCTTTGCCTGCAAAAATCAGTTACAGAAACAGTCGTTTCACAAAGTCACAATCAGAAGTCTCTGCACCAAAGCCAAAAATAAGATGGGGGACTTTCTCTGCTCATGTTTCTCTCCTTGGAGGTAAGTGTGCGAGACCCGGCTCTCGTGATGTTTCAGGATCTTTTGGTGAAAATGCTATAAATCTAAATGAGTATTTCACACCTGAGACGTGGCACAAAGACTAGCATGTGCTTCACTGAGGGAGCTTACAACTCTGCAGGCTGAGTATTTCCAGAATTTTTATCGACAAGGAAGAGGAAGTGGCCGGCTTGAGCAATTTCTTTAAATTTGAAAGCGAGGCCCATCTTTGCAACACTGACAGTGTCTAACATTCTCCTTCATGCAGCCAGTCTGCAAGACTCAGAGGCATTCAACAGTCTAATCCATCTGAAAGCCATGTCAAATTGCCTTAAAAATCTCTAAGCATTCAATATATATACACTTGTTAAAATTAATTACATCATTTAACATTTCTACGCACATTATGGCTTTAAAATGTTTTATGGTCATTTTTATTAATTAATAAAGCTTTTAATGGACAAAAATTGCACCGTAAAATTATTACGCACATGCTGCATTTTCAATTTTCCTACTATATCTTTAAGTATTTTCCCCAGTGGAAAGTCACTAATTCATAAACCAGAGTCTCCTGCAGAAAGTAAAGCTGGAACTCAGACGTTTACACAGAAAAGGAAAGAAATCTGGCCTCTGGCTAAGGTCTGCTCCCCACTCCACTTCCATTCCAGTCTCCCCAGACAGGTAAAGGGTGCTCAGGACAGCGGACCTCGGACATCCTGTCTGGCCCTGGCAATGGCAGAACCGGCAACAAATCCTGGCCAAGCTGCTCCCAGAAAACACAACGAAGGAAGCAGAAAACAGCTGCTTCTGCCGTGGTCCTGGGGAGTCCCCAGTCTGCCCCTTTTGGAAAGAGCCCCATGATTACACACGCACTCACGCCCACGCACGCACATACACTGCATTGTGGAGCTTTGAGGTCTAGGTTTCTGAGGCCAGGCCATCACTATCGGCTACCTGATTGAAAAGTTAAAAGTGCGGCGCTCTGGAACCTCCAGATACGCAGCTGTTCGGACCAGAGGCACAGAACATCTGGGAGTGGCCGGCCCTTGGTTCTTCTCAACCTGTTTTGGAATGACCAGGGCCTCAGTGAAATTCATTTGGGGGTGTGTTTTCCTTGGTCTGGAACTCCTGTTGGAAACAGAACTTTGAGGGGAGGCCTTTTGTAACCTACAAAAGTATCGTCTAAGAAAATCCGTCCAAACCAGACACCAACACAGAGCTATCAATGGTCAACCTTGAGTGCAGCAGAGCAACCACCGACAACTGCTCCCGGAGTAAGTTATGTACGAGAAACTCACGACGCACCTTGACGACGCACTTCAACCAGTCACCTGAAGGGGAGGGGTCTGCGCTCGGCGCGGGGGGATGGGAGAAGCGCTCACCTGCCGCGTAACTCCAGCCGGGGATGTGAATGGACAGCTGGTTGGCGCGACCGCTGATGTGACAACGAGCTGCCTGGTCCTCCTGCCCTTTTCTTCCAGTGACCTGGTTAGTTTCTGCGTCTGCGAATTCTGGGCTTTCCAACGGAAGAGAGCCCCTCCAAGGACATGGGCCGGTCCTCATGGTTCCCGAATGCACCCGCCCCAATGATGGGTTTTCCTTCAAAAAACCTTGCAAACCCAGGTTCCAGCTGGGGCCTGGGAGGGTCTGGCTGCCCTCCGTGAGCTCCGGCTTCAGGGCTCTGCTCATTGGCTCGGCGTTCGCTGTGCCAGCTGCTCCATCTGGTGTCAATGTGTGTGAACTGCAGCTGAGGTTGAGGGACAGGACGGATCTGTGCATTTTCGGGCCAGCAAGTCGAGGTGGCTCAATGGGGACAGAGAGGGACCTGTCCAGGTAGTAGATGGAGTTTGGACACTGCTGAGACACTCTGAGATGGACACAGGAGCTGAACACCAGGGGGCTCTTTCCAGACCGCAGGGTGCCGGGAGGAAAGCTGCCCCCTCTGTTGTCCACGTTGGTGATCCAGTACTCGTGGCCCGCACACAGCCCTTCGTGGGCCTCAGGGACCTTCAGCCTCATCACAGCGCTGTTTCTGGAGAATCCTGCGCAAGCGAAAGGTCCGTGGTGTTGACTTGGATCGGCACCACTGGCCAGAGCAGGGGGGTCCCTGAGCAGAGTGTCCTGGGCCCTGCATCTGATGCAGAGTGGGTCCTCAACGGCCTCCCACACCAGGGTGCTGGCCGGGGGGACCACCCTCCTGGCCGTGATGGTGATGGAGGCAAATCCCTTCGAGGAGCCACTGCACGGCGGCTTCTCCTCTTTGGGCGGCAGGCCTGCCACAGGTCCTCGCTCCCCAAGCCGTGTCTGAATTCCCAGTCTCCCGGGAAGGAACGCAAATGCCCTGTGAATGGTGCCTGTGCTGCGATTAGCCAGAGGCGGCTTCATGGGACACGCTGGCGGCACCGGCAGCACGGCCCCGTTCTCTCTTGATTTTTTCCCATCAATCAGCTGTGAAATGACTATGGATGAAATCATCTTTGTGTTCTGCGACGCCAGAGTCCCCTGCAAGTGGAAAAAGATTGCAATTATTCAAGCAGGCCATTGTAATGCAAGGCAGGGAGCTCTTTCAAGGGCCAAGAGGAGGCTGGAGAATGCTAGTCTCAGCACCCAGGAGTTTCTCATCCAAGGCCTTTTATCACACACCTGACACCCACCACCCCTGAGCATCCAAAGGGCAGGAAACCCAGACCTGTTTGTAAAGTGGTTACACATTCTGGAAAAAGTCCCTCTGACTGCAGAATTGGTTTTCTCTGCTGGGCGTCTCTTCTTAGTTTACTTAATGGTGTTTGTGTCGATGGGGATGCTCAGATTTCCATAATCACCTCCACCAGGCCCAGGAGCACCTGAATGCAGGTGCACAGCCTCATGGGGGAGGGAGGACCAGATTCTGGAGGAGGCGGGACTTGGGGCACAGGTTTGTGTGGGGGATGAGTCAGCGCCCTTCCTTGGAAACAGCAGGCGTGATTACAAGGAGCCACCCCCACCACGGTGGTCTCTAATTCCCTAGCACAGTCCTCCACTGTTGCTGGCCTAGACTGGGATTCAGTCACTCCCCCATGCTTGGCATCACAGAGGTCAAAGTCCAAAAATTGAAACAAATTAAACACCCAAGCTCAACAACTGCCCGGACTAATACAGTGACCACGACCATCACGTAACAGAACGGGATGGGCGTGGGGGTTTGGACCAAGACAGATGTACTTCTGCTGCATTTCAATGCTCCGTTGCATAAGCCTGATTTTCATCCAGGATAATGATCAAGGTGTTGTGTGCTTCCTAATCAGTAGATCCTGTGTCCTGACAGTAAATCACCAGTGTGTCCAAAACAATGTGCTGTGCTTTTTAATAAAGCATCTCACCAGGTCGAGGCCAGGAAGAAGATTCTGTTCTGTCCTCATTTTGTTTTTATCACACGTATGCATAAAGCACTGCAGAAAGCGCCACGTAAGAGTGAGCACACCCAGTGCTAGGGAGTGCGTGAGGGGTCCTGTGCCCCCGTTTTGACATTCATTATTCTACGTGCTTAAAATGAACCCCGAGCATGAACTGCATGGGATCCAAAATAACCCTGGTAACCGTCCAACACACGCTGCCTGCAGAATCATCACTCCGGGAGGCTGTAGGCATAATTGGGGCTCAGCACGGAAGCAGCAGCTCTCCAGCTCCACAGTGCCTGAGAATCACCTGAGATGTTATGGTTGCAGGCCACCCAGGCTCCCCCGAGACTGATTCTGTAGGTCTGTGGGTGGGGCCCAGGCACCCGCATTTTAACCAACATCCCCGTCATCCTGATGTAGGCAATCCAGGGGGCCACTGAATTCCAGTCTAGACCAGCAAAAGTGGATGGCTGTGCTAGGGAACTGGGAACCAAGGTGTGGGGAGGGAGGGGGCTCCTTGTAATCTCATTTGCTGTTTCCAAGGGGGAGCGCTGACTCATTCCCCACATAAACCTGTGCCCCCAAGTCTCGCCTCCTCCAGAATCCTGTCCCCCCACCCCGCCCCGAGGCTGTTCACCTGCATTCAGGTGCTCCTGGGCCTGGTGGAGGTGATTATGGAAATCTAACATCCCCATCGACACAAACACCACTTTGAGGAACACCGACAGAGTCGCGGAGGGGAAGGGCCCGTGTTTGATGATCACAAACACTTTTTTTTTTTTAGTAAAAGGGAGGCTTTTTTTTTCTTTAGAAAAGGGTTACTATTCCTTTACTCAACTAATGGACTGTACTCGTCCAGCTGGACTTTTGACAGGAGGACCCGGCTGTGTGATCTTAGCATCCAAGGCCCACCGCATCCTTCTATTAAGACACGGGAAGATGGACAGTTTGTATTTCTTGGTTTTTCCTCTTTTTTTTTTCTTGTTTTCATAGCAATCTCCATCACTTTACATGTCATTATGCTTTAAAGACACGTGGTGAGATGCAAATTCAAAAGATGACAAGAGGTAGGTGAGGAAGAAGAAATGGAGAGGGGCACCACTAAAAATTCACATAAAAACAAAGCACCCGGGCTACCTTTTCCCCGACGGCCAGCATGAGCCAGGCTCTGCTTGAAACCTCCTCTTTCAAGGGAGGGCCTCCTCTTCAGTGGTTCTCAGCCCAGGCTGCACAGGAGAGTAACCTGGGAACTTGTAAAAACCGCAAGGCACAGGCCTCACCCACTGCAATTCCACTAGAACCCTCGGGGGAGGGGCCCAGGCATCACTGCTTTTTAAAGCTTCCAGCAGATCGCAGGGCCAGGCCACGGAGAACCACCTGGATGCCTGAGGCTCCGCCCTCTCCCCTCCCCTCCCCTCCCACCTGCCCACAGCACTTTCCATGCCTGTAGTTTCCCTATCAGAAAACTGAAGTTCACCTGGTCCTTACTCCAGGCCATTTGACCTGTATGCAGTCCCTCCCACTTTAGTTAAGTTTCATGCTGATAATTGGTCCCATGCACTCTACAAAGTGCATCATCACACCCAGTAGGAACTCCTTTGACATTGGGTTTGGAAGGAAAAACAAACAGCCGTCTTGGAAACCGGGCAGCACTGGTCTTACAGTGCAATATTTCCCAAAGTTTGGGCCAGTGATCACCCAAATCAAAAACACTTGGGAGGTTAAAAATGCCAATTTCTGACCCCTCCCTCCCTAGACCTAGGGTAAACTAGGATCTCTGTGGGTAAGGCCCAGAAGTTGTGTCTTTAACCATCTGCCAGGTGATTGTCCTGCACAGATAAGATGGAAAGGATGCTTGTCCAGGACCCGGACCTCCTGGGGCCCCTCCTGAGCCTGGGGCTCCCAGACTGGCCCCAGGACCTTGGAGGAGGCTTTCGTTTCCATGGCTACAAAGCAAGGAGAGAACAGGGTAATTCTTGTGGGGACTCCAGGCTTCCCTGAACTCTGGTCTCCGACATTAAGATGGTACCCCTCCCTTCAGGCTCCAGGTCCCATAAGAGCCTTGGTCTTGATATAAACAAGGGGTGTGAGAAGCCAGGGGTGAGTTTCTAGGACTGGGTGAAGGCCGTTTCAGCCTGGAACAAGGGCCTAGGGGAAGCTGACTCCTGCCACCTGAGCTGAGACAGGGAGGCAGCGCCTGGAGCCCAGGGCCCCACGTGCTGGAAGGAACCCCTCGGGGCTGCTCTGGGGCTGTGGGCATTACAGCAGGAGACCCTAGAGGCCCAGAAGGATGGGCAGGAGAATCGGCCACCATTTCATTACCTTGGGCCTGGCAAGCACTACTGTGACTTTGATACCAGGTACAAACAGACAAGGGAAGAGAAATAATAAATGGTGTGAATTTGAACTTGTTTATGAGGTTCCGTCACCGCTCAGTATGTCAGGGTGACACTGTCCCTGGGGGATGGGTGCTGATGGAAGCCCAGTTCCCAAGAAAAATCTATTTGCCTTCTCAACCTCATACAGACATTTTGGAGATTAAAAACGAGTGACGTGAAAATCCCTTTCAAAATATGAGCATGTTATGTAACTAACTTCATGCTGTGCCTTGTCCTGCGGTTTAGCAGAAATCACTGGGTGTCTGATACAAGCAAACCTTCGGAGGGATGAGGGGGTATTTTTACTGAAATTCTGCCATATTTCGCTGGCATTTCCAGCGAGTGCATTTGAGTTTACTTGAGTTGCATAAACAGAAATAAACCCATTACAAATCTAATACATGCAAATTTTATTAATGTGAATGTGAAATGAAAGTGACTATTTTAGATGCAAATTCTGCATTCATAACATGGAATCACGGTCAAACCATTTACTCACTCAGCAGACAGAGATTTATTGAGCAGTTACTATGTGCCAGGCTCTGTGCTGGGTGATTGGGAAACTTCCTGGCCTCATGGAGTTAATAGAATGGAGATAACATCTAGCAGGTAATCAAACTGCCAGGACAAGGATTATTAGGTTAAATGACACTGAGTTTTTTCAGGTGTTTGGACTCAGCTTTAACAAGAGCCCCACGGAACAAACCTAAGGAAATGAAAAGGGCTGGCACCTTCTGAGCCTTCCTGCTGTGCCTTCGCACTTTCCCCCTTCTGCACATGTCTATGTCCTGATCTCCTCTTCTTTTAAGGACACCCTTGTATTGGAGTGTGGCCCATTCTACCTAATAACCTCATTTAGCCTTAATCGTCTCTTTAAAAACCCTTTCTCCAAATACACATTCTGAGGTTCTGGGAGTGAGGACTTCCACGCATAGATCTGCCGGGGACACGATTCAGTCCACCACAACACTTTGTGTCCCATTCTGCTTCCAGGGCTGGGAAACCAAAGAAGGGAGGAGACAGAGGGAAAACCTGAGGTTCCTATCTGCCTACTGCTTTTAAAAGTAGGACAGATTTTCTTTAAAAAGTAATTGCATCTTTTATATCAAATATCTTCCCCCAATTCAGCTATTTCAGGGTGTCACTCTATCTGTCCTTTTTACTAGGTTAACTGAACATGGCTTTGAAAAAAGATGTCTTTTATCTAAAATAAAATTAACTGATGTAAGATTTGAATTGAAAGGAAGAAAATGATCTGGTATTTAAAGTAGCACATTCAAGGTCAGAGAAAGGTCAAATGGGTACTTGGGTTTCGTGTCTTGCTTTGGTCGTAAATCACCCATTTCCTGACCATCACCACAGGACGTGGTGTTGGCACATTTTCTTTTTCATAAATGCTGCTCTAAGATATTGATTTCTTTTAAATGTTTCAAACATGATTTTGTAGCGCTGGTAACGGCTTTCATAGTTTTATGCATTTTATTGACGGCTTTTTCAGTTTATACTTATGCCTTAAGGCATATTCCTGAGAAGGACTCCATTTCATAAATTGAAGTAAGAGAGAGATAAACAGCAGATGGTCAGGGAAATCAGAGCCTGGACCACCAGAATGAGGGTGTTCCCACTCCTGTAGCAATTTATTTCTCGGAAGGGTCTATAGCTTTGAAATCTGTACCTTCCTCCAGGAGACAGTTCTCCCCTTTTCCACAGCTGCTCTGCAACCTACAACTGTATTCACCAGTGGAGCCTGTGGTCCCATCCCCCCACCCCACCCCCGACCCCCTACCCCCAGATACACTCTGCTGTTACCTCCCCATTAGCTGCAAGCATGCTTACTCCTAACCGGTTGACTGAGGATCATCACTACCAGGTAATCTGCCAACCTCATCGTGGTATTTCGTCCTGAACGTAAGAGTGTTTTCAAGTGTGTGGGTTCACTCTGGTATGCAACAACAGGGAAGAATGGTTTTTAAGACAAAATGGAAAAATTGGAGATTCTCTCCCTCTCCAGCCTGAAATATTTAGCTTTCCACACATTTACTAGAAACCAAAGGATTCAGGGCAGTGGAATGTATCACAGGGAAAACCTGGCAAGAATCTAAATGTTTTTTAAGAGGGGATTGGGCAAGTGAATCATGGCACGCACAACTGCATCATATTCTGCAGAAATTAGAGATTACAAAGAATTTAAATGCTATGGGAAATTGTTGATCTACATTACAGTCATGTTTTAAAAAACGCATGGGAAAAATAAAGGAAAGAAATATATATAAATATTTTCTTATTTATATATTTGTATTTTCCTAAGTGTCTACATAAGATTGCCATTATTCTTGCTACCAGGAAAATTTAAACATTGTTTTTTTAAAAAAAAGAAAACTCTCTTCCATATTTCATCTCTTTTAAGTAATCACTTGGCTGAAGAAGTGTCTGCATATCATTTCTATGGCTTCGATGAATTTGAAAGGAAAAGTGATCAATCTTGTGCAGGCTCGGGAGGAGAGGCAGAGATTTATGGCCGTTACAGAGGAAGGGCATCCATTTGAAGTGTTTCATCATCTTACAGCATCCTTATAACAAACACACAGGGACGAGCTCAAAGTTAGGAGGGAGATTTGAAAGTCGCACTACTGCCGTGGTCGAAGTGGATGATCCAGATCGTTCCAAAGCAGACGTTTAGAAGATGTGATTTCTGGGAGTTCTTTCTTTT